TTAAAAAATTGATAACATTTTTATAAACCTAATGCGTATCATTATAATATTCTGTTTTATTATATTTCAAAATTTTAGCGATATTTTTCATTTTATAAAACAATGAAGAGCCTTGGAATTTTTACACAAACCCATGTAAAATTTTAGCTAAATCTTGTTAATTCAATTATCCAGTAAACTCCCTTTAGTGGCTATGGACTTTTGTACCATTTTTCTGCTTTGTTTTACCGATAAACCGGCAACAACAGTGCAAAATGTGGGTCTAAAAGATTTAAGGACTTCTTGTCCTTATGTTAACTCCTTACCGTATTTTAAAGAGTCGAACTCGTTATCATAATTTCAAGCCAAACGTGCATATTACGAGTTTGACTCATAATCTCATGTCCAACGACAATGTGCAGAGTTTGCTATCAAAAGCAGCGGCAAACAATGACGAATGCACAAGCTTTGAAGTTTTTCGAGCTAATTGGTACCACAAGCGGTTAAAACATGGCCGTTAAGTACCCCTTAGATAAGACGAGACTTAAATCTAAAACGCTCACGATTTCTTTAGTGTGAATATCATAAGATTGTTCCCATTGAACTCTCAGTTTACGGTACACTGGATTTACTATAGAAACCAAGATAGTAACATGTCTCAAAGTTAGCTGATATCTCGGTTTCTTAATGAATCACCGCTTCAATTAAAGTTAAAGGTTTTATGCTCTAAGAGAAATAAACTCATGCCCTACCTTACTCGTTTACTACAGGATCGAAACTATCTTCTATCGCAGCTACTTCTTTTTCCTACAGGAGTCCACAACAACAGTTAAAATAAAGCAGAATGATTAACTCACGTATCGCCGCGCGCGTTCTCGTTTTCCGTCGTCCTCCATTGATACAGTACGCGCCATCTAGTCGGTGTCGCGCGCGTAAATCGTTCAAACGTAGAAACAGTTACGACATCTAGAGTACGATTATGAACTCACCAGTACGAGCAGAACCGCCATGATGGCTGATGCTTTTCGTATCGCTTGACGTTTGATCAGAACATGTCATTTTGCACATTTAATTTCGACAAATGGCAGACTTCTTTTTCGGTTTCGATACGTCGCTTGAAGTAAGTAAGCTTGTCGCTACCGATGGTGCAGCTTCCATCTCCGTCTCGAGTCGTGGGCAGTGAGAAACTGGGAAAGAGCGCGGGGAGAGTACGAGATCATTCGCGATCTCGACGTGTAGTCGCGTCGTGGTTCATCGTGGCGGAATCGGGAGAATTTAAAGAGCGTCCGCGTGTTCAGTCAATAGCGGGTAAATCGTTCGGATCGAATGAAACGTGGAGGCTTGTCGAACGACCTGGTCGTACCTGCCGCCCGCCCGTTCGCTCCTTTATGCATATATACCGTTTCGAAAATAGCTAGCGCGTATCGTTCTCTCTTCGAATCGTAATGGAGGTATGTAGCACGTCGGGTAACCTCGCCAACGCAGGGACCTCTTCGAAGGATGCTATCGCTGCAACTTCCGTACTGGTCGTTATTATCATCCTAATTTCTCCTTCTCCGCTTTGTTTCGTTCTAGTTTTCCGTGGACCGATTCGTCTACGTATATCGATACAGTTAACAGGACGAACGATCGTCGAATAGTTTCCTTAGTCGTGTCGGGATTTTCTCTGCTTCTCGCTCGAAACAATTATTTTCCACTCGCAATGGTTTAGTGATAGTAAGTTGTTGCTCCACCGAGTAGCTCCTTTTTTTGTTTATTCTCGCTTCGATTATTTAGAGGAGCAATTTAGAAGATGGTCTGGAGTGTCCCTTCGAGGAGGACGACCTCGGGGGAGAGGAAGAGTACGATGCTTTGAACGACGAGACCTTCGGCTCTGAAGCCACTATCGGGGATTGGGAGAAAGACCATGAAAAACTTGCGGAAATCACGGAATCCAGTCGTCCTCACAATCAGAATAACTTGAGTAAAAAAGTAAATAACTCGGAAGGGTCATATTTCTTGGTCTACTGAACGTACCGACGATTTAGTAACAGTAATAATTATTGCAGAATGGAGTTAATGCGAATATTGAAGATAATTTATCTCATTTGGTGTTAGATGAGAAAGAGGGTATTGTCCCACGTCCTGGGGTATGGGACAGTCCCAACTTTTCCTCTCCCAAACCTATTCCCTCGTTACCCTTGCCACCGGGGTTAACGTCCAACGTCTGCACCGTCGAGGAATTGGAGAAAGGTTTGACCGCGAACAGACAGCCGGTAGGATTGAACAAACCTATTCAAGGTCAACATCCACATCAGCAGCAGCAACAGAAGCAAGATGGAACGCACCTGTTCAAGTCTTTATCCCTTCCTCAACGCTTCCCCCCAGGACTGGGTATACCACCCCCGCATCCTGTTGTTTTACCACCAAACGTGAGATTCCCACATCCTCAATTTCTACAGCATCCTAGATTACTGCCCAGTAAGTATAACAGATATGCAACGTAGATACGTGTATCTTTATTTCAAGGAACAATCAAAGCAATTGATTTTCGTAGATCAAACTGGAAATCTATTGAGATATCCTGTACCGCCTCACTTAATGTTGCCACACGGGCCACAGAGACAGCCCATGCATGGCTCGTTTCCGAATAATTTTCCAGTAAGCTTCGCTGTTTAATCACAAATGTTAACAGCAGATTCGATGTTTCGATAAGAATCGTCTCGAATACTTTTTCACAGCCTCCACACTCGAATTTGTGCCTCCCTCCATTTCTGCGAACGGACCACGGCATGATATCTCCTTTTCCCGGAAATCAGTCTAGTCACCATCAGCAACATTCTTACGCTCATTCTGGAAATCAACGACACCTGAATAGGCCGTTCCCTCACGGAGAACAGCAGCAAGGGAATCATCAACTATATTTCAAAAATAATCAGCATCAGCAGCGTAACTACGACCGGAATAATCAACGGCAATATCATTACCATCATTACTGTCAAGGTGTAAACGGTGTGACTGGTTCGGGAGAGTACGACGAGTACGCCGGTCTGATGAGCAGCCGGGAGAAACAGTGGTTAATTAATATACAATTACTGCAACTAAACACGACCGAACCTTACGTCGACGACTACTACTACACCGTGTTCTGCGATAGAAAGAACAAACAGACTTTAAATCAAGAACAAAAAGATAAGAAACGCAATAATAACAATAACAATTATCAGAGAGATTCGAGGTGAATATTTTCTTTCCCGCCTATTTCTCTTCACTCTCCGATTGTAACCAATGATCGTTTCATTTTATTTTTAATTTTAGAGATCGAGATCAACCGCTTCCTGTGCTTTCGAGACCTGCATACATACCGATGCAGTTTGAGAACTCCCTGGGGAAGTTACAATTCGCAAGCGTAATCGCACCGCGTAAGGTGATCGATATGGACGTTGTGCCGAATGGCGATCCCCAACTAGCCTCGCAAATACAGCAAAAGGACACGAAACGAACGAGGCAATTGTTGCTTGAAATCGAAAGGGTATATAATTTTCCGATTGAAAGAACACTAAGGAAGTATTTCGTTATTATCTTTTACGAAAAATAATATTTTCAGTTATATATAATTCAATTGAAACTCGAAGATCTACACAATCCTTTAGTTCTACTTAATGAACAACAACAACGGGAAAATCAGGAAGGGGAGAAGGAAACGAATAACGAGAAGAAGACTAAGCCAGAGTTAATAAGTATGATGTTATCCTCTCTCCTTCAATTGATACAAGACGATAAACTAGCGAGTATGCTGGGTATCCGAAAAGGAAAAGTACGTAAGTCGGAGATTGAGACGAAACGCGAAGTGACGAAACTGTAAGCTCTATCTCGATTGTTCAATTTACTCTGTCGCAGATGCTGTTATTGAGATTTCTGCCGTACTTGAACGTAACGGAATATTGTAACCAGTTAGAGGAATTATGGAAGGCGATATTCCGAGGATTAACTGTAATAGGCCGTAGAGATTCGCACCTGTTAACAAGCCTGTATTCGGAGTTTCAACGATGGTTCGGTAACATACAAGAGTTCGATACGATACTTCGACTAGCTCGATCACTGTCCGATTTCACTAGTCAACCAATCAAGAATAACAATTTAGCTTTCGCCCTTTCAAACAAGGTTCGTCCAATTACATAGATCTCTTTACTCTATACTATCACATTCTCATTTTTTTCTTCTTTTTTTTTTCTTGTTTAGTTCGGTGTGTCTGTAATCGCCTCGATGTTCGAACAAGCAGAGAAAATATATCCGACGGACGATGCTCTGTCTGCGGAATGGTCATCGTTCATTGCGAATATTATCGATATAATCGGCGAAACTCCACCCTGTATCGCGCCCTGTCAACCGATCGCTGCGGACACGCTTAATCAGCATTTAAACCGACTATCTCACTTAAAGTGCGGGAGGTACACGACTTTGGAACTTTTATTAACCGATATCAACTCTTCCCGATAATCAAACGTTATTATATATTATTTTCTTGGCATTTCGATTGAAGCCTGCTTTTTATTCAATCATCGAGTCAGAAATTACGCTAACGGAGAGTCGCAGATATTTTAATACTGTTACAACGTTAAGATTTAATACTTCTTGCATACAACTATATATGTATATATATATGTATTGATGCAGTTGATCATTTTACGTGACACAGGGAACTTATATCATTTTTCTGTTTATTCTCAACTGAACGGCGCTCGATCTATTATGTTACGCCACAGCGTCGATTTGGTATATCGTAAAACGTTTATGAACATTCACACAGTTTTCGTTCTCCTTTTCCCTATTATAAGTTCACCACGTTGAGTCCATATAACTAATACGTTCATTGAATGAACTACGATCGGAATTTGTGGTTCTTCTCTTTTATCCTTTTTGTAGAATACGTTCTTGAGCAACTTTCTAAGTTCATTGACTAATTGTAACATAGCGTTTTATATTCGAAATAACATTTTGTTTTCGAGAAAAGAGAGGGACCTTCAAATGGAAACACGACGTTTGTGAAGCCGGCGCAAAAAGTCAAATTATGTTGAAGAAAATATAAATGGTAAATCTCGTATAAGATTTTCAATGGAATTACGTGTTATTATAAAATCAGATCTATCGTTAAAGAAGATTAATTGCATACGATGATGATGCGTTTAGTAAAATATAATGTAGCATTGTTCGTGCATGCACCGAGTTTAAGAAGATCGACGAAGGGGCGTTAAAATCGAGTACCCTATAAGTTTCTGTACCAAGAGGACAGGAATGTATTCGCATTGCAACGTTTTTATAACGAACGATGATTAACGATTAGCGTGTCGAGACCTTGGATCAATTTAATTGTAATTGTAATATGAACGGATGGACGGAAATCCGGGGACTTGGTGCGTATTTTAAAAAGTAGAATCATTACTAGATAAAAAAAATGAAATGTTACGTACCTACTTTGTGATCATGTTAAATAGGAAGCGGTCGTGAGAGAAATTGTTGCGAGCAATTAGCGAAAGTGCAGTAAACGATATTTTAAAAGAAATGGAAGAAAATATACGACGACATGGCCTTTGGTACACAGTAAAAACGGTTAATTTTAATCGCAGTAAACATTTATAAATTCTTATGTATGTACATTCAGCTTGTACATAGAGCGGCTCTGATGAATGAATGACTTCGTACACATATGTATTTTGTAATTGGGATACGAGTGAACATTTTTCACTTCCACGACATAACACTACGTCATTTTTGCAGAAAAAAAGGATCATTAAAATGATACAAAAAATATGGATCGCATTATTTTCTAACGTCTACACCGGCTGACGAGTATCGACGAGTCGGCAGGGCGAGTTGAAATTTGTAAATTGCAATTATTTAGTGTAAGTAATTATACGTACGAGATGAATGTGTAATGTAAAATTGCAGCCCGCGATCCACCACTAACACTAATAACGTAAGAGACTTAATGCAGACATGCTGCGGTATGCTTTCTTCTTCCTTTCGTAAAGTTGTTATCTAATTATCTAATTACGTTACCCATGATGATTTGTCACATTTGGTTCAATTACATTTTCAATAATGATTTCGATAAGTGTTATCTTTACATTCGTGATCGATGATGCACGAAACGAATGTAACGATAAACACGATCGTCGTTTACGTTGCGAGGCTAATTGATATTTCTCACGTAAAAGAAAAACACATACAATTTATCATATGTAATTCATCAAGGATCGAATAATAACTGATTGTGAGCACCCTTCGATTCCTTACTCTCAGATAAAACATGTTTGTTGAGACTGTACAAATTTTTTAATCTTTGAAAGTAAACTGTATCATAAAGTTTAAACCGCGTTGTCTCTTATATGTGCCACAATTTTACAAAGTATGCATGTTTTTCGTACTTTCATACATTAGTGCGAATCGATCTTAATCAGTGATAAGATATCATGGATATAGGAAGGTATACAGGATTGGAGCATAAGGGGGAAGCGATCTCCGCAGTGAAGGGAAGTATAGTCACGTGGTTTATGGAACGCGTTCATGATTGGTTAATATCGCGCAAGCGCAATCTGTTTTTCATGCCATTCAAATTACCGTATGTTAACCTAAAGCTTTCTGCATATTTTTTGCATCAGTACGAGTTTCGATCATGGAAAAATAACAAAATATTTCAATTGACAGCCGACGATCGCCGTTGCCAACGAGGAATTCGATTTTCCCGCGCATTTGATTCTCGCTGCTGTTTGATATTTCACTACGACGTAACCGTAAGTAACTTTGAAAGTAACAAAACAATTTGCTTTGGTCAATTATTATCAGATAATGACGTCCAATTTACAGAGCACGTCACTCTGTAGATAATCTTTTATATAATTTTATTATATTACCATGTCTTCACTACTGGAATACCGTCCTGTGATCTCATTCCTTGTTTGCCGAACATTTTCACTCGCTTGTTATTGTTTTCACCATCGCCATGACTGGCGAAGATGAATCGTCGAAGTTGTCCAGACAAGATTAATGACTTTTTCGTAACGCTTGTCTTCCGTTTTTTATATCTTCCTCCTTCCCACGCAGAAATTCAATAGCCAGAAATGATTAAAGCAC